AAGAAACAATGACATGTGTTGTCTGCAGTTCTGAATGGCTGTTTTCTTTATTGCTTCTAATTGGATCTTAGAGATCATTTAGCCCTGACTGCCTCGTTTTAGAATGAAGAAACAGAAGTCCAGGGAGAGTGACAGTTGCCTAAGGTCACATTAAGAAACCAGGATCTGGAAACCCTACTATTCTTCTGGTGCTTTTTCTACCATACCACCCTAAATCCAGAATGTTCTAACTGTGCATCTGTCAGTGTATGTCTCTTGGGCTGGAAAGCTTCTATAAAGCCAGCCCTGGTCACCTTGGCCTTCTCTTTGCCTCATGTTTACTGCACTCCAGGCTGCATCAGGTGCTTGGCCAGCTAGTAGCATCAAGGCAGGGATTGGAGAGGCTGCTCCGTACACAGAAAGGACCCTGGGATGTGGGGTCAGATGACTTGGTTTGAAATCCAGGGCCATCAGTCCACAGCTCCAAGAGCTGGCATGTTACCTATTCAGGATTCAGTGTCTTTATTAAATGGGGACAATGATCTGTCATGTGATTATTGTGCCAAACCAATGAGGGAGCATTTGAGGATGCTCTTTATAGACTGAAAGCTGTGGTGCTAGTGTCAGTGCAAGTCTTTTCTCTCTGCCTTCTCCTTCCTTATCGTCTCCTCTATAGTATTCAGCAAAGCACTAGGTGCTACATAGAAGATGCTCAGTAAAGTCTTCTCTAGTGATGGATCATGAGGACCCAGGATGGTCTGATCTTTGGTGCATCAGGAACTCACTGGCAGGCAGACCTGGCACCGGGGCAAGAAGCTGAGATGGTTGCCCATAGGGCTTGGGGGAGGGAAAGAGGTAAACAGAGGGTTGGGTGACGAAAAGTAAACTGGATTTAGAAAACAAACTCTAAACATCTACAACTAATGGCTGTAGGTGGTGTTAGTCATTCCGTTAGGAATTTGGGAATACATATGCATACTAATAGGAATTTATTTTGGCTGCTTCTTACTCCAGCATTTGGGAAAGAAAGAGCAGTTGAGGAGGATGTGGAATCTATAGACCACATCCGCATGTCCAGAAAGTATATTTCAGTTCTGGGTCTTACTTCCTGGGGATGCATTTGCCCACATCCTGCAGGCCTATGGGATAAGCTGGAGATAGGGTGGCTGCTGGTTCTGGGGGAAGCTAGGTGAAGGGGATGCTGAGAATTCAAGTGGCTCCCAGCTTCCAGTCGGAGATCCACTCAGACGGTGTCCTGGGATCGCTCCCATTCTCCTAGCCAATGGCCACTCTTCAGGCCACAATGAGCCAAGGAAAACTGAGGTACATGACAGCAAATGCTTTCTGGGATTAAAAACAAACTGCACCCCTCTTTTATGGAACGGGCTAACTTAACAGTCACCATCCTTGAACTCCATAGCCTCAGGCACCCGGCTCCATCCTTCTGTCTAACCTGAAGCCCTCACTTTGTTTTAGGACAATTCCTTCTCTTTCTGGTATTTAGTGGGCACAGTACACCTTCATCCTCTGCACTGGGGTGCTTCTATGGGTGTGTAGAACCAGGCTAATTCAGTCTTCTCCCCAGGCTGAGTGTCTCTCCACCTCCAGCCCCTGTTAGGCCATCTCCTTATCAGATTCCAGGTAGCAAGCAGGTATTGGGAGTCGGCTCTATGCTCTGAAGTGTGCCAGGGGACTGGTCCTTATGGGACAGCCAGGGAGTCAGGGCTTCCGACAGTAGGGTAAGGCTGGTAAGGAATGCCCGGGAGAGTCGATGGCCTCAAGGAGGGTGAGTTTGGACTGGTAGCACATGGAGCTGGAACTTTCTTCACACTGGAGTTTTCTAGTCATTTTGAAGGATGGAGAGTGACCTTGGCGTGCAGCCTGGAGCCCAAGGCATTCTCTACCCCACCCCCACGGAGACAGTAAGAGGGTGAGAGGAAACATCCTAAGGCTCCTGCTGGGCGCTTTCTGGGAAATCATTTATCGACCCTGCACTTCAGTGCCTTGACTCTAAAACCGAAACAAAGAAGTGTGTTCAAAGAGCCTTCAAGATGTTCATACCCTTAACACAGTGATTCCACTTCAGGGGGTCTTGCCTGATTAAAGAAACAAGAATGTAGGCAAAGACTTAAACACAAAGATGTTCATCTCAGGGTTATTAGAAGAGTGAAAATGGGGGAGAATCCAAATGCCCATCATTAGAATGACTTCTGTGTGACATCCCTGTCTCGTACAGAATCATGTTATTACCTAGTAGGAAGCCCTGATTCACTGTTGTGGTTAGTGACCAGAGCAAGCAGCCAGGTGCCATGTTAGTGTCCATATCCCACCCTCTGTGCTTGCTCAAGGGAACAAGAAATCCACCATCACTCATCTTTCCATGATCCAAATGTGGATTATTTTCTGGGGATTTTCCTTGCTATCTGCCCTATAGCGGCTGCTGACTGGTTTTCTGTGGCCTCCTAAGATGCATCTGGGGCCCCATCCATATGCCGAGGTTGCTCCAGGGTCATTAGAACTGGAAAGGCTCTTACAAAGCACAAATCCAAACCCTTTAAGGGGAAGGAACTTGACACATCACCCCTTCTTCTGAAACCATGGCAAGCTTCCTAGCCACCTGATTCCTAGCCGGTGCTCAGCAGAGCCAGTCTCTGAATTACCCATGATCCAAGGTCTGACTCTTCAAAAAATATCCACATTTCCTTCTCTGACCAGGGAAAACTTTCTGATAGGGTATGAGGGTTTATTCCGGAGCAGGGATTGGGCCATCTTTCCTGTGTCCCGCCCCTTCTCATTTTTTTTTTTTTTAACCTTTCCCAGAACAGTTCCATTTTTGCTCTGGTGGCCGCCTGATTGTATTTCTGCCACTCCATTCTGGTCCTCTTAAGGATGACTGTGGGTCATGCAAGTAGCCTAACTTGCTGCCTCCACTTGTTGGGGGAATTCAGAGACTTGAGCTGGGGCTGCAGCTCCTCTCTCCATTCCTTTCCCCTCCCCCAGGGAGACTCCACCTCTATAGTGGAGTTTAGAAGGGAGGAAAACACCCTCCTCCATTCTCACCTCCCCCTCCTTTTCCCTTTCCCCTTCCTCCTCCCTTCAACATGCCCTCCAGCTGCTCCCTGGACCTCCTACTCAACTCCCCCTTCCTTCTCCCTTCCCTTCCTATTTTTCTTTTCTTCCTCTGTTCCCCACCTTTCCTGTGCCTCACTTTGCCTGAGTTAGCTTCCTTCTCCCCAGGGCCAGCCCACCTTGCTACACCTTGTGCTTCTTCCTGGCCACACCCTTCTCCCCACCCCAGGCTCTCCGGAATCCTGGCAGGGAAGGTTTATCTTCAAGGGTCTGTAGCCTGCCTGTGTGGCAGCTTTCCTGGGTACTCAGTGCTTGGTAATTAGCTGCGTGGGCTTCTGCATATATACACCCTCCCATGTGCCTAGACAGGAGACTGTGTCTTAGGTTACACATTAATCCAGCTGAGCCAGTGCTGTGCTGCAGAGACTCATCCACATGCCACATGTGCCTCCCTGTGGGTAACTGGGACAGGTGCATGGGATGTTGACCACCAGTAGAGAAGAAATGGATGTTGACATTCTCCCTGCCCCTGGATGCATCCGCTGGAGCATGAGTAGAACTTGACAACGGATCTCCTTCAATGGGAAAGGCGCACTTGCCTCTCTGGGAACCCAGGAAGGCAGAGCCCAGTCCTGCATTCCCCAGGAACTGGCTGTTACTATCCCAGTGGGCAGAGGGGATAATCAAAGATGAAGAGACCCTGACCGCACCCTGGCCTTTTGATTCCAAACCCACAATCTGCTTTGAGTAGGGACGCCACTATCTACCACGTGCCTTGGGCAAGTCGCGTTGTTCTTCTGAGTCTTTTTCCTCCTTATGTCAAACGGGGTTGCTGAGAAGATCAAACAAGCTAAGAGTTGTAAAGATTCGAGATCCTGTTAAACACCACGGGTTCTTGTAACATTCACGAAAAGTCGAAGTGAGTGTGCATGCACCAGCCGCTGGTTTTTCGCAGGTCTCTCGCTAGGGTGCGGACTCAGAGCCGGGCTCCAGGGCTGGGTGGGCGCGATCCTCCCAGCCCCCAACCTCGGCTCAGGGCCGGCGCGGTCGGGTTTTCCTCCGGCAGGCGGCGGGCTGACGGCTGCACAGCGCGAGCCGCACGTGAGGCGGCAGCACCGGCGCCGGCTGCAGCAGCGCAGCCTGGGCCGCCCGGGTCGCCTTGCGCAGGGGCTGCCCGCGTCACCCGGCCGGCGAGCCCGCCCTCCGGGTTCCGGGACTAGCGGCCCACCAGTCCGTCGCTTCCTTGGGCCGCAGCCCCAGGCCATTCCTCCTGTCCGTGCGGGTCCCTCCAGTTGCCTTCACCATTCCTGCGCCAACCCGGCCAGGACCGTGTATCCCTAGGGTTTCCTTGGCCGAGTCGGTCCGTGCGGAAGTGGGTGCTCTCCGCGGCTGGCCGGGCGGCGGGCAGGGAGGCTGGCTCCGGGCTCCTGCAGCTCCACCGGCCGCCACTGGGGGCTGCCTAGCCGGCGATCCCGGAGGGGACGGAGCGCACGGCCGCCGGGCTCCTGGGCGCCTTCAGCCGGTAGGCTTTCTCCGCTGCTGGTCCTGCGCTGCCTCCGCAGCCCGCCCAGCTCCCTTCCGGATCTGTGCGTGTGATCGTTCTGTGAGAGAGAGAGACTGTGTGTGTGTGTGTGTGTGTGTGTGTGTGTGTGTGTGTGTGTGTGAGCGCGAGAGAGACTGAGTACGCGCGTGTGCGCGCACGCGTGGGGGGGCAGTGTGCTTGCGGGGAGTGCGGGGGAGTGTGTTTGTGTGTGTGCGTGTGGGTGTGAGTGCCTGGCTCCTTCTCGCTCTCTCTCTCTCTCTC